GTGGCCGGAAAGTCGGAACGCAACGATGAGCGAGCCTCCTGACCGACAAAAGGTGATCGAAAAGTACCTCCAAGGATTACGTCATGACGACTGGCTACTCTCATGGCTACCTGAAGTCAGACGAAGAGCTAAAGCTTTTTGAGAGGTCCCTGCCTGCCGTCAACGAGAGGTATGCTGTGCGGACATCAAGAGACCTGAGCAAGTCGTCTAAATGTGAGGATGTCTCGATTGCTCCTTAATGTATTGATCTGCGCGTAGATCTAGCATTGAAACACGCAGTAGTAATTTAAACCAGCTAGGGACACGGCAGGACAGGCTTCTTCTCAGTTGCGGTTATTGGTTATCGCCTTTTTGAAGTTGGGGTTAGGTATCATTGTTTTCGTTACCGGTTCACAGTTCCCCTGGAACCGATTCATTTCGGTGTGAGTGAAGTATTGTTCGGATTACTGGGACATGACCTGATCTTCAGAGATTCTATTGGTAGCTGTAATTGGCGCCTTGTCTGTGTCTGTGTGTTTCTTTGGTCCCCGTTGCTTAGCAATTATTCAGTTGTAACTGAACTGTATTTTTTCGGTTTTAGTCATGATTAGCACCGCGCTAGCAAGCCAATTGTGACACGGCCGTGCGTGCCATCCGTGGTCCTCCAGGAAGTGTGAATTAGACGTCTAGAGCAAGGCGGGCCTGATGTTGAACGCTGTATATGAGAAGCTGAAGGGTCAGGGTCGAGATTTTTTGCCCAATTATATTAAAATCCCAAGGCCCAACCAAACTGTAACGTGTTGGGGCTGCTTGTAAGTTGTAACTTAAAAACCGCATAAAAACTCTGGGTAATTGTTAATAATAATAATGATCATTATATTTATTATTCTGGTTGACGAAAGCCAGAATTTCTTGCCAGAGGCAGCGCATCTCAAAGTTTTTTTGCTGCCATTACACAAAAACTAAAACAAGATTTGATATTGCCCTCTGCCATGCATAAAACTAGGTGCCTTCATTAAATCATCTTTATTTTTTATTTTCAGCCAATGTCGTCTTCTCCATGATCCACTGCGGATCTCGAATCTCTCTTGACAATGTGCCGTTCCGAGTTGTCAAGGAAACCGTCAAAGTGCGCATATTTGGAACGGAGTACTACAAGAAAACTCAGGAGAAAAAAAAGAACAGGTATGTTACTGGGTGATGCACTTCCAAAAGTTTCAATCTCATGCACATATCCAGCAGTCTTCCAGTTCAAAGATTGTGTGTAGGCAGTGTAAAGAAGATTTACTTTAAGTTACTACAAGTTTACACAAGAAATAAATATTGTTAACTTCATTTACAGAGTTCAAGTACCACTGACTTGCAGAAGGAGGTGTACGAGAAGAAGCGGGTGAACCTCCAAGGCACAAAGAAGAAGGGGTGCGCAGCAACAATGAATTTGAAGCGGATTGAGTTGTACCCAGATTTCCAGGTATGTAATGTGCAATGACAAGTAAAAAATAATTCCAGATTAATTTCTGGGGACCTTTATCATGTCATTTATGATTGTGCAATCCGACACAACACAGTTGGTTGACGATCATTATGGTTTCAAGCAGCGCAACAAGATGAGGGCAAAGTCAAGATGAGACAGAAGACAGCGCTCTATATTTCCACCATTGCCAGTATGTATACACGTGAGAAATAGCAAGATAAACAGAGTGTGAAAGATAAAATGAGCACAACGCATACAGTCTCGGCATCTAAGCCAAGACTGTATGGGTTTTGTGCTTTGCGCTCTTATTTTACTATTTCCCACATGTATACATACTGGCAATAGTGGAAATATACTTCCAGCTATTAGTTCAGCGCTGTCTTATGTCTCATCTTGATTTCGCCCTCATCTTGTCGCACTGTTTGAAACCATAAAATATGATCTGTGTACTTAACAGTGCCTGCTTTCTAGGTGGATGTGCCCCAGCCATGCGGCCAGACAAGAGAGGGTCGTCTCAAAGCCGACAAGGCCAAGGAGCTGCAGGAGGCACTTGACGCGGAGCAGCAGACTGTGGCCAAAGAGACGCGGGTATATGCTAGAATTGCCGACTGCAGTTCCCATCAAAACCATCGTTTCGAGGACATGGAAGCTTTCAGCCAAAACATGGACAAGAGTGTTGCTGAGCGAATTCAGATGTTGGCAAGAGAAGGCATTACTTCTGTATCAGATGTGAAAAAGTGCCTTCACTATTATGTGCACGACGTACTTTTTGCGAACAAGGAGAAGCCTGATAGCAGCTGCAGGGCCTTTTTCCCAACACATCGTGACATCAGCAACCAGATCCAAGCTGTGCTTAAGAAAGACCGCTTCAGCACAGTTGATCAAGAGAATGCTAGAATCCTAATTGAAAAGATCAGGGGTGAGCAACCCGAATCCTCCGCTGTCTATCGGCCGTATGCAGCACCCAGCTTCGTGGGTAGCAGCGACTCCGACAACGTGGAAGAGGGTGTTGCCAGCGAGTGTGAAGACACGTTGCTGTTTTGCTTCCAAACAAAATTCATGAGGAGCATGCTTAAAAAGTACTGAGGCTGAGTAGTTTGCCTGGACGCAACGCACAAGACGAGTGACTATGCCCTATCACTTTTCTTGCTTCTCGTGAAAACACCGTCGGGATACACACCAGCTGGTGTGTTTATCATACAGTTCGAGACGGCTCGTTGTATCGCTGAGGCTTTAGACGTTTTCAAGCAGTGGTGTGACAACTGGTCCCCACAATACTGGATGGTGGATTATAGCAAGGCAGAAATAAGTGCCATCAAGCAAGTGTTTCCAGGGAGTCAAATCTCCATCTGTGACTTCCATAGACTACAGGCATGGCAGAGATGACTGCGCAGAAAGGAAAACAACATATCCGATCCAGATGAGGTCCTGAGACTCATGAAACACGTAGCCAGTGCTTCAAATCAGCATGACTTTGACAAGGCAGTTGAAGTCCTTGTTGACTCTGAGTGTTGGAAAAACGAAATATTCCGCAGTTACTTTAAAGAAGTGTGGCTGTCAGTAAAGGAGCTGTGGGTCATGTCTTACAGGCTGGAGTTTGACGTTGTGTTGACCACAAGTAACGGCATTGAGGCCCGAAACCACGTGTTGAAGGCACAGTACGTGAAAAGTTCCAGCGGGAAACGGTCGTTAACATTCCTGATCATGACTGTCGTTCATGGCTACCTTCCCGACAAATAAGCGAAATTCCATGAGGCAGCAAGGAGGCAGTCATCAGCGTACAGACAGTACAGTAATAATGTTCCTGCATACCTGCACAACCGGCCTCATGGGTTCGTTAAGCATATGCTGAGACGGCTCGTAATGCAGAGGAATACACCCCCACAGACATGGAAGAGCTCCCCGTTGAAGGTGTGTTTACGGTTCATTCTGAAAGAAGTGATGACGATCTGTACACTGTCGACTTCACCAAGCCATCGTGTACCTGCACTGATTTCAGGAAGCACAAATACCCATGCAAGCACTTTTGTGTTGTTTTTAAGTACAGCGACAGGTGGGGCTTTTCCTCTCTTCCACAGAGTTACCTCACTCGACCGCAAATTACTCTTGGAAGCTGTCCAGAATCCGAAACAAGTTCCGAGATTCCCCTTGTCAATCAGCCCAGCCCTTCTGAAGTGTCTTTACAGGATCTTGGTACAGCAGCATCGGAGTCAGACATTCCCTTTGTCACTGAGACCAGCTTTTGTGAAGTGCCTTTACAGCCTGGGGTTGCTATGCTTCCTGGTTCAGCAGCCCCCTCAGTGTCAGAGCTACACAAAAGTATAACCGAGGAATTGGAAAAGTGCACTTCCCTCCTTTACTGCTGCCATGACGTTCAAACACTGGTGGAGGCTAGGGGCTTATTGCAAGCCACCTTCCGTAAGCTGGCTGAATCTGTGCCAGAGTTCTGGCCTTCACATTCGGGGCTCACCGACAAAAGGATGCTCGTCTCTGAAGCCTCTTCCGAAAAGAAGATGCCTATAGTGTGCTGTCACTCTGCCATTGACTGGAGCTTTGACTGCTAGGAAAGGATCGGGGGAAACGGTAGAGATGGACCACTCGGTGATTTTTTTTCATTCTTTTTAAAAAAACTGCAATTGTTGCAAAACTCAATTTATTTTACCATTCATAACTTTGGCCTAAACACAGTGTTCGGACATCTTTGTGAATAATTTTTAGAATGTTTAGAGCTTTTAAGATTAATATGGTATGTTTTATACTAGACTTCATTATAGTCATGCAATTGTGACATTGGCAACGACTGTGTATGTGTATAAATGCAGCGGTAATTTTTTGTGTTGGTGATACTCTCAATTCAGAGAGTGTGTGAAAGTATGTTTTTAGGCTTCTGCTTTCAATCTATGTGTATAAAACTGTTTTTAAAGTTGCATTCTTTCTGTACTTGCTACGGACGTGCTTGCTTTTATACTTTCCTTTTGACATTTTAATATAGTACCTGTTGTATGTGAAAGCATGTTGGTACATTTTTTCGGGTGGTCATTTCAAGATGTATTCATAGCGTGCTTGTAATATCCATAGACTGTAAATAAACCAAATGTGAGAGAATGCGTAATGTGCACAAAAAGTTTACTGTGAAAATGTGAAGTATGGTTACCTACACAGCAGAGCAATTTCATCAAGACTGCTGCAACAGCTGTGACCGGTTGATGTAGAGGCTGGGCAAACAAACTGGCCTTTTTTTTAGGGCAACTATGGGAAATACCCCCTCAGTGAAACGCTTTAGGTATACATATTGATACTGCAAAGGAAAGTTTGACATCCACCTAAATGTGGATGTCAAACTTTCCTTTGCAGAATGTTACTCCACTTTGGGGGTTTCCCTTAAATCTGGTCCATATTGATACTACTGACTTGGGCGAGCTGCTTAATTATTCAATCTGACAACTTTTTAAATGGCATCATATGGGAATGGGGATATAAAAAGGGGTTGCATAAGGAACACGAATGCACAAGAAAATATTACCGGAAGGTGATCGTCTCAACTTAGCATTTATCAGCTAGTATTTTTGAACTAAAGTCTTTAACATGTACATTAAGTATCGTGAAACTAGAAATAGTCAACGCAGAGCTGCCTAGTTTTTGCCCGTCATGTATCCAAAACATGCAACCCAATGTATGGTGCATACTACATAGCCTTTCCATGCAAAGGAGAGAAGCCTCATGAACCCTCTTCTTTGTGCCTTGGAGGTTCGTTCACTTTTTCCGTACACTCCTTCGGCCAATCAGTGGTACTTGCATGCTGTAAATGAAATAAAGAATATTTATTTCTGGTGTTTTTGCATGTTAACAGACACACAGGTTGGCTTTGATAAGTGGAAAAAAAAACAAGCCCATGTTCTTATAGTTCACACCAGGGATGTAGCCATGATTTTCTTTCGCTCGCAACCACTGATGGGGGGAAGGCATGGCAAAACGTCAAAGGTGGGAGAGGAGGTAGAAAAGGTCCTAGCAAAACTGAACATTTCGGTGTGCAGCAACCCCCGGTTATGTGTCTCGTTCACAGTCATAATGCTCTTGGGCTTTTCCTAAATGTATTCATTGGCTAGAAATACCTTAAGGGCCCCAAAAGGGGCACATGCATAAGGGAAAATACGTTAAATACAGCTGCCGCAAAGTATGCACCTTACACTGCCTGCACACAATCTTTGAACTGGAAGGCTACTGCATATATGAATGAGATGGAAACGTTTGCAAGTGCATCACGATGTAACATATTTGGTCTTCTTTTTCTCCTGTGTCTTCTGCTAGTATTCCATTCCAGATATGCATACTTTGACGGTTCCCTTGACAACTGGAAACGGCACATTGTCCAGAGGGATTCGAGATCCGCAGTGGATCACGGAGAAGACGACATTGACTGAAAATAAACAATAAAGAGGATTTAATGAAGGCACCTAGTTTTATGCATGGCAGAGGGCAAGATCAAATCTCGTTTTAGTTTTTGTGTAATGGCAGCAAAAAAACTTTAAGATGAGCTGCCTCTGGCAAGAAATTCTGGCTGGCTTTCGTCAACCAGAATAATAAATATAATTATCATTATTATTAATAATTACCCAGACTTTTTTCGTATGGCTTTTAAGTTACAGCTTACAAGCAGCACCAACACGTTACAGTTTGGTTGGGCCTTGGGTTTTTAATACAACACTACAAAAAAGCTCGACGCTGACGCTTCAGCTTCTCATATGAATTCAACATCGGGCCTGCCTCGCTCTAACGTGAAATTCACACTTTTAGCAGGACCAGGGATGGCACATACGGATGTGTCACGAATAACCCAACCACAATCCGTCTCTCGTGTTGCGCACGATTGCTTTTTCGGTGTTGAAAATAACATAAATGTTAATTCTAAAATGCACAAATAGAAAAAAAATAAATGCCCAAGCGCAGCTCTGCCTTGAATTCAAGGCAATTATCTAAAGAGCACAGGAGCAGAATAGATAAGGTATGTGACCCTGTGGCAGACCTTTAATTTTTTTTAAGTCATGATTAGCTTGCATGCGCTGTTCTAATCATGACTGGAGCCCGAAACTAAAACAGTTCACTTCCTATAACGTTTCTTAAAATTTCTGAAGATCGTTTGATGTCCCGGTACTCCACTCAAACCGAAATGAATCGGCGCTAGGGAAACTGAACGGGCAACCAGAACAATGATAACCCGACCTTCAAAAAGGCGAAAACCAATCAATTGTCTAGTGTTGCACTAACCGCAACTGCAAACAAGCCTGTCCTGCTGTGTTGAGTCCCTTCATCTACGTGTTTCAATGCTAAATCTACGCGCAGAGCAAAACATTAGGAAGCAATCGAGACATTCTTACCTTTAGGTCTCTTGATGTCCGCACAGAATACCTGCCGTTGACAACAGCTAAGGACCTCTCAACAGCTTAATATGACAAGACAGCGCACGCCACCACAGAACAGGGAGACGCCCCGCACAGCATACAGCGAACCAAGTCTAGGTGGTGTTGAGCGAACGCGCTGCCAAACAGAGAGGAAGGGAGAGAGAGAGAAAAAAAAAGGAAATGGTGGCCACGTCATCGCGGCGAGGCCTCGCCCTGCACGGATTTGTTGTGACACGGCCGGACTCGACGCTCCTTCCGCACACTCCTTACGGCCTTCTCAATACCGGCGCCGCGCATATATTTTTTTCTGACGCGTAGAGGGCAGCACCACCTCACTGTAAGCTCCGCCGGCTCCCCGCGTCGCCGACTGCGACTTTTCTTGACTGCGTTCGATAGCCTCGGGTAAACAATGCATCAGACACGCTCAGGCACGCTAACTGCACTAGCGTAGCCATGGTTTATTGTTGCGTGCCGCTGTGTAAGTCACAGCAAGGGAAGACACCGGGTGTGTCGTTCACCAATTTCCTAGCGATGAGGAACTGTGTTCGGAGTGGAGGAAAAATGTTTCACGTGAAAAACCTCGTCATCAATGACAAGTCCGCATCGACTGTAGTGTGCAGCAAACACTTCACGGAAAATGACTATGTTCCCGGATATCGTATCCGGAAACTGCGTCCAGGAGCCGTGCCCACGGTCTTCGATCAGTATCCTTCGTATATGGTCCCGGCTACGAAGAGGCCGTGTAAAGAACCTGCAGCGCGTGGCCACTCGGCCACCTCGGCTCCTCGACAGCCGACGAAACGGAAAGCGGAGTCATCGCCGTCTACCTACGGGAAGTTCTGGTCCACCTTACGACAAAATAAATATTGCTTTTTCTCTCTGAATTTTGTGCGCTGGAATGGATTACTGTTGCTTGTGACAACAAGCGTGTGCGAAAATCCGGGAAAGCCGCCGGAATGGTGTCGACTGGGTAAGCGGTGCTCTCAGAGGTAGACTATACCATTTTAACCTCATCACATGCAACGACCGAGCTGTATTGTGTGGATAAAACGTTCATCTTCAAGAATTCAGGCGCCGCAGCTGGTTCTGTTCCTCGTACTCAGCGCTGTTATGATGGCCATAGCGCTGTGGCGCGCACACTGCGCCCGTGAACGCGCTTGGAGGCGGCGGAGCATGGATAGATGGATGGATAAGGCTGTACCCTATAGATCGGGCGGTAGCCAGCGCCACCAAGCCGTAATACTTAATGAACCCAAAACTATATTCATTTTTTTCCCTTAAATAGTGAGTTTGAGAATTCGTACTTTGCAGTGAAGAGTTTAATTTTCACTCGTGTCTTGACTTTAGCCACCAATCAGATAACCTCCTTCTATTTAAGTCTACTTGCTTAAAGTCTATTTTGCCCTCCCGGTCCCTAAACCCCAGTGCTTTGAAAAACTCTGCGCCATCATCCTGAACTATAGGGTAAAGCCCTTTACAGAACATTATGAAGTGTTCGGTAGTTTCTTCTTCCTCTCCACACGCACTGCATACTTTGTCTACCCCTTCGTATTTGGCCCGATATGTCTGTGTTCGCAGTACTCCCGTCCTTGCATCAAACAGTAGAAAACTACCCCGAGTATTATCATAGATCCTTTCCTTGGCAATTTCCTGCTTAAAAGTTCGATAGATCTCTAGTGCGGACTTCTTAATCATGCCCATTTTCCACATGTCAGTCTCCGTTTCCTTCACTTTCTTCTTAACCGATAGTTCTTTTAGGAGCGAAGCTCCTTAAGGCGTGGGCTGTGCGTCCCCTGTATGTAGCCACCTCTCGTTCAGTTCTAAGTATTACGCTAGAAACCGCCCGTTCTAAAGGGTACAGCCATATCCATCCGTCCATCCGTCCGTCCATCCATCCATCCATCCATCCATCCATCCATCCATCCATCCATCCATCCATCCATCCATCCATCCGTCCGTCCGTCCGTCCGTCCGTCCGTCCGCCCGTCCATCCATCCATCCGTCCATCCGTCCGTCCATCCATCCGTCCATCCGTCCGTCCATCCATCCGTCTGTCCGTCGTCCGTCTGTCCGTCCGTCCGTCCGTCCATCCGTCCGTCCGTCCATCCATCCGTCCGTCCGTCCGTCCGTCCATCCGTCCGTCCGTCCGTCCGTCCGTCCGTCCAAAAGATGCAAGATGTTATAAACTAGACGGCGGTACGTGTAGTTGATTATGAAAGATGCGAGGTGTTATAAAATAGGAATGATGCCACATATGGCGCATGTCATCGTTCGATATAGTGCGGCGACGTACGCTAGGGGGAGCGTTGCAATAAAATCGAGTGGGCAAAATGTACGGAGGATTCATGGTTTACCAGGTTTACCTCCGGAGCTTCGCCCACTCATCATCATTCACTTCGTGGATATGGCGGCATTTTTTTGGTTTGGCCACCTGCTCTTTTCTAAGTATTTACCAGTCAACTTCCTGGTTCGCTTCCTCTATTTTGTATCGACATTCTTCATGTACAAGTACCTGAAAACCTTCCTAGCCCAACGCTCCTCCTTCATTTCTCTCAATCGCTTCTCAAATTTAACTTGCTGCTAGCTTCCCTGCCCTCAAATGATGTCCATCCCATATCACCTTGAACTCCCTGATTTGGTGTAATCCCGTGAGCTCCTAAAGCAAGCCTACCTATTCCACGTTGCTTAATTTCTAATCTTGCTTGAACTTCTCATCTCATGCACAAGACCGCATTGCCGAACGTCAGCCCAGGAACCATGACCCCTTTCCATATTCCTCTCAAAACATCATACCTATTGTAATTCCACAGTGCCCTATTATTCATCACTGCTGCATTCCTGTTTCCTTAGTCGTCACGTATAGTTCGTGTTCCCTCAGGTACTCGGTCCCATTGCTTATCCATACGCCCAGATATTTGTATTTATCTGTTATCTCAAGCGTGACCTCCTGTATCCTAAGCTCACTACCTTCGTTGTCATTGAAAACCATGACTGCTGATTTTTCCTTACTGAATCTAAAATCTAACCTATCTCCCTCATTACCACAGATGTCCATCAATCTCTGCAAATATCATCTGTTCTCTATATCATCTATATCATCTATATGATCTGCGTACATTAATGCTGGTAGTGCCTGATCAATAAGTTTTCCTTGTTTGACTAAATAGAGGTTGAAGCCCAGCCCACTTCCTTCTAATTTTGCCTCTAATCCTTGTAGGTACATCATGAATAATAAGGGTGACAGGGGACACCCCTGCCTAAGCCCCCGTTTTACCTCTGCAGGCTTGGATACCTGTTTTTCCCACTTTATAGCTACCTTGTTACCTTTATAGATACCCTTTAAAATATTAGTGACTACATGTTCCACGCCTAGTGTGTCCAGTATTCCCCACAATTCCTCTTGAACCACGCTATCGTACGCTCCCTTGATGTCCAAGAATGCTAGCCCTGTGGGCGTGTGTTCCTTTTCTGCTATTTCGATGCACCGCGTGTGTGAGAACAGATTGTCTTCCAACCTCCTGTGTTTCCGAAACCCAGTCTGCAGTTCCCCCAGCACCCCCTCATCTTCTATCCATGCCTGCAGTCTTTCCTTTATAATCTGCATCGCCAGCCTGTAGACCACTGATGTCACTGTTACAGGACTGTAGTTGTTTATGTCAGCTTTGTCCCCCTTTTCTTCATAGATCATGCTCATCCTGCTAAGTTTCCATCCATCGGGAACTTCACCATCGATTATTATTTTGCTCACTTCCTCTCTCAAAGCCTGCTTAGACTTCGGACCTAATGGCTTTATCAGCCTAATTGGAATGCCATCTGGGCCTGTAGATGTACTACTAGGAACCCTTTGATGTACTACTAGGAACCGCGTTGCTTGGCATGTCTGTGTTCCCTAGATGTTTCATGACGTTTTGCTACGGCTCTCTTAACCTCCTCATCCCACCAAACTCGCAAATCATGTATTGTAGTCTGGGGTACGTGTAACAAAACAAACAATTAAAGTATTATTATTCTCGAAAAACGTGCACTACGTCTGCTAACTACATCGGTACCCACAAATACATCGCTTGTTCTTTCAACATCATCTGTCGGTTCACTCCGTTGCTTAGCATGTCTGTGTTCCCTAGATGCTTCCTGGCTCTCTTAACTTCCTCATCCCACCAACTCCCTGACTTGTGTATTCTTTCCGGGGTGATTTGTCACGTGCCTTAGCAAGTTCTAGCCCAAATAGTCTAATTAGATTTGTGTGACACTAGCGCCAGAGTTCTCTCTAGTAAGTATTGTAGGAAACTCAATGCTTTTACTGTCACTGACTGTCACTTGATATGCCTACCAGTGCCGTCTCTAGGTCTAGGCAACGCCTCCTCTAGGAAGATGCCTGCCGCATGAGAAAAAAAAACAGCCGCCACCCCCTTTCTCTCCTTCATTCTGAAAATGTTCTCAGTCGCTAGCGTCACCTGTGGCGGACGGTGTCACAACGCAACACTTTGCATAGCCTCCAAAACAGTGGTGCACATTTGCAGGTCTCGAACAAATCTCGACGGACGCGCCCCTATGGGCCACAGATGAAAAACGCTTAGCTGGTACTAGAGGTGTGCGCCGACTGGTCGGTGCGCCGCTGCCGAAAGTTTTCGCCGCTTCGCCGCCGCCGACGCGAACTGACCGGCGCGCCGCAGCCGCCGACGTTTTTCATCGGCGCAATCTGCGCGCCATTTATGCACCAGTACCGACTTTTCAAGATTTGTTTGTTTCTTTTTCATCTTGAATTATAGCTTTGTTTCACATTTATGTAGCCAGTAAAAAACAGGCTTCTTAGTTATCTTATCCAGTTTTAGAGACCGAGAGTACCACTATGAACAGCGACACAAGTTCGGCGGCCGCTGCATGAAATGACATATTGGACAAATTGACAAAAAATAAATGTAACAGTTACAGTAATGCATAGACGCTGCCATCTGAGGCTTCAAATCAATTTTTGCTGGTTTTCTATGTCGTATTTAGCAATGAATATGGTCATACAACGTTGAATGTACTGGCCCAGCGTGTTGACGCGTGCAAGTTCACCGTAGCACTATTCAAATATTC